AAAGTGGATGGGCCTGACCGCCCTGTCCCCCCCTACCTTCTGAGGCCCTGCCCTCAGCCAGGCCAGAAGCTGGAACCCAGCCCAAGTAAGAGCATCCAGGGAAACTGGGCAGTTGTGGGGAGCTGTGGACTTTCCACCTCATGCGGTGAGGGGGGGACCAAAAGCAGGCCCCCAGCCCATGTTCTCCTTGGCCAGGCAGGCAACTGTGGGGAGCCATGGACCCTCCACCTTCTCTGGGCACAAATCCCAAGGAGCAGGGACACTGGTTGGGGATTACTCTCTGTCCCCTATTCAGACAAATGGAGGGGTTCAAGCTCCCTGAACAAGCTCCAGCTTCCGGCTTGGTGGGGGTGGAGTCTCTGGAGAAAGAGGAGAGGCAGGGTGGGACCATGCAGGGGGAAGGGCCTAATTTCCCCCCCCCTCACACACACACTTTTAGGCTGAATCCATTGCCCCTATTATCAGACAAATCTGGGAAGGAGGTGAACCTGTTTCTCAAAGACAAAGGGCAAGCCTATACCTCTTGCTTGGTCTCATTACAATTGCTTGGCAATCACCCATCAGGTGGTCATTCTTTGACAATAGAAAGGGGAAAGAAACAGAACAAACTGCATTTGAGCAAATAACAACATGGAACCTCTTTCACTATGAGACTCTATGTCTATGTCCTCACAGCTGAAGTGAAATTTGTGTAGGACTATCCCTTTGGCTGTTTGTGAGTGGTCCTGGGCTGGAAGCTACAACATCATAGCACTGTAAGGTAGCCAGAGTTACTGGACAAGCAGTGACACATTCTTTCACTGGTCTGGATTGCACCCTGAGATACGACACCCTGCTCCATACTTTCACCAGTTTGCCAAAGTGGAATAGTGCAACACCAGCGTTCAATATTACATCTTGCTTTAAATATCCCTTTTGCCTCTGTTCAGCACATACTGTGCGTAATTAGCCAAGTCTTTTCTTGCTCTTTCTTCTGTATCACTTTAATGTCTCCATTTCAGTGTTCACTGATGAACACAATGGGCTAAAATTGAAGAGAATTTAAGGTAAATTTTAAAATTCTCTTTGAATAGAAGGGCTCCTGCCCCTTACAGGAATATGTTAGCCTTCCATATGGAGTAATCTTCTTAACTCTCAGCCATGGAGCTCCTAAGTCTAAGACCTATTGTATGAATAATCTGCCTTTCAAACCCCCTGCTGTTTTCCTTTATTTCATTCTTTATTGCATATGTATTTCTAAAAGACAATTCCAGGGAGGGATCCATTGTAAATGTGGTGTTCTTTAATATTACCAGAATTCTAATTCTCCACATTTAGGTAGCTCTTCTTGCTCATCCAGACACATTACCACTGATGAGGGAAAGACGACTTCAGCTCACAAAAAAAAAAACGCTTCCAAAAAAACAACACCCCTCACCTCCCAAAAAACCTCTCTCGTCTTAGATTATGAGCTCTGAGGGAACATGTCTTACAATATCTGTCTGTTGTCTTCTCTAAGATTATAAACTCTTTGGGGCAGAAACCCGTCTCTTTTTTTTTGCACAGCACCTAGCACTGTATGGTTCTGGACTGTGACTCAAGCTACTGGATGATGTGGTATATAAAATACTAATAATTTTATTTCACTTAGTACAAACAGTTGTTTAGAGCAGGGGGTTTCAAACTTTGGGCTGCAGCTCATCAGGGTAAGCCACTGGTGGGCCATAAGATACTTTGTTTACTTGAATGTCAGCAGGCACAGTAGCTTCTAGCTCCCAGTGGCTGCGGTTCTCTGTTCCCAGCCAAGGAAGGGGCAGGAAGCCATAGGATGGCCCACGCTGCTTCCTGAAGCTCCCATTGGCCAAGAATGACGAACTGCAGCCACAAGTGTGAGTGGCTGTGCCTGTGGATGCTCAAGTATAAAGACTGCTTGAAGGCCTGCTAGCATCTTGCCTTGATGAGCCATTTGAAACCCCTGGGCTAGAGGACAGAGCGCTGAACTAGGGAATCTTTTCTGAGGTTTAAATCCTGTACTGCCACCTATATGATGCATGCGCTTGGGAAGCAACGTCTCCCTTTCCCCAGTGGCCCTTTGTCTGCAGTGTCTTCAGAGCTGGGACCAAATCTCACTAGCTGGGCAGCTGAGAGACTTGGAAAGATAGAACAGACCAGTCCTGTGTGCCTGGAAGGGGCAGGGCCTCAGGAAGAAGGGGCAGGGCCAGGACACTTCCATGCTTCCCCACCCACAGACTCTAATTGGTCTGGGGGTGAGGGAGAGTGC